TGCACATGGTGGCATCACACTAAACCTAGCAGAACTTAACGTTCTTCGCAAGACTACCAGTGTACCTGGTTCAGTGCCCGTTGCATTCTCAGAGCCCTATTTTGATGTGACTATATATTTCACATACTACTTTGAAATGATTATTGAATACCAACACCTGATAGTTTAATTCGTTGCAAATTGTTAACCTCTATAATGTTATTATTTTCTTTGACCTTAATATTCCAGGTTTGTGGATCCTCGGCCTGGGACTATAACGCACAAAGTCTACAAGATGGATTGTACCCAAGAAAGGGGAATGGTGCATGGTGAACTTGGTAGATAAAGCTAGCAAAAATGTTGAAACTACAACTGGCTTATGAAACTGCGATATGGCGTCGTGCATTACAACAAGGAGATGATTGTGTAGCACCGTATTGAGCCAATCTGATGAATCCTGACAAAGTCAGCATGTATGGGATGTTTCTTGGAAAGTTTAAGAACATTGATGTAATTAAATTATGTTTTAGCTGTGTACGTTGTGTCCAGTACTGTAAAAAGGTCCGATGACATGAAATTAGGAATGTGTTAGCGATCAGTGAATAGAGAGGAATCGTATCGGTTTCTGATTTCTTCATCTCCTTCTCTATTGCAGCAAAGCTGTACGTACGTCAATTCCTTAAATAGCTAGGCTGTTGTGCACGGCGCGGAAGCGGTCGAATCACACAATCCAAACAAGAGAGATCACAACCAAATAAACAAGCACAATCACCAATTAACACAAGAGATTTACGTGGTTCGGCAAGTTGCCTACGTCCACGGGGCAAGAAGGGGATGGAGTTTTCACTAATAGAGAAAGAGTACAAACTGATATTACAAATCACTCGAAGGAACAAACTAATCTCACCAACAAGCTCTTAATCTCTCCAAACAAAACCCTAAACAAATAGCTCAGAAAATACCTCTTTTCTGTGCTCCAAATATCCCCAATTTTTTTTCTCCACCAATTTTCTCTTCCAATTGTTCCATATATATAGAAATCCTAAAATCATAAACATACTAGGAATTCTAAACCAAAACCAAATCAAATTAGGAATCCTAATAACCTATTACCAAAATAGATTAGGAATCCTAATAACCTCATGTTACCAAAATAGACTAGGAATCCTAATAACCTCATGTTACCAAAATAGATTAGGAATTCCCTATCCAACAATTCTCCACCTCGGCGAAGTTTTTCCAAAACTGAGCCGACACCGACCAAACCAAATGTCTCACTTGTTGCGTCCAGTACGAAGTGAAACGATCCACAACAACGGACTCAATCCATAACAAGTCGAGACCCAAACGGGAGTGCGAACACTCACCCAAACGTCGGTATCCACTCACCAAATCGGCTGCATCAAAACTGACTGCCTACGTATCATCTTGCCCAAGGAATCAAGCCTTCACGTAGTTCACCCAAATGGCCTCCAAATGCCTCAATCCACTAGAAGAGTTCGCAACCCTTCTCCAATATCACGATCAAGTCTGCGGCTGATAGTACCTCCAATGGCTCCAAACTGAACTAATCCAAACATCTCCACCTGAGATGAACCAATGGCCATATCCAGACTACATCCATCAGCTGTACTCGAATCAATCAACCTATCATCTGCATCTAAATCAACACGATTCCCAATCTATGTCACATCAGCTGGAATCCCAAATGGTGCAGTATGATCTGGAGTTTCCTCCCAATGTGGAGTAGCATCACTCACCACCCGCTGTGATGTCCCAAAAATCTGATCATCACTCTCCACCTGCCGAGAGTCAAACGTGACATACCTGCTCAGAACAAAGTCAGAAGCCAATACCTGATAATCAAACACGCCTCTGAATCCCAAATGTGCTATCGGATCAAATCTCACATCCACGATGTGACCCGACGCAACCTAAAATCTAAAGCAGCTCCACCAGATCTCATATCTATACATGCAGCAGTCGGCAACCTATACATGAGACGGTCCAAACATGTCGTAGCCTACACACCAATGCCAATGCTCGACATCAAACGCCGATCCTCCTCCAGAAAGAAACAGCTGCCCAAATCTGCCATCTCGCCTTGTCGCCTCAAAGTTTCCACACCAATGAAGTGTCTCCTATTGCCGTGAGCTCGGCACAAATGCAAGAAAGAACCCCTACCATAATCAGAACGTCGGGTTACCTTTCTACCAACACACTTCCTCCATCTGTTGCGTGCTTCTAGGACTTCACACCAACGGGATTTGGTTGCAACCCACCAATGCCTAGAGCAATCCCCAACTGCGGAAACCACATACCTATTACCTCCCAATAATGCTTTCTTGGAAGGCTTCCGAATGCCTGAATAAACACCCCTCAGAAAACCCCTCGAATGATGGATAGAAGTGCCAAACTTCACCTCGGTCCCCTTGCTCATACCAACGTGCTCAAAAGGACTTTAATATGCAGGTCAATGGCACTTCTCAATAATCCAATGCACCGTATCAATAAACAAATAACCCAGCCTCAAATCCTTCTATCTCGGCCAACTATCTCAAAGCACCAACAAATGAAGAATAGATCCAAACTGATAAAAGAGAGAATTTTACCTCCAAATGAAACCCTAACAAGAGTCTCCAAATGATCTCACCCCGCACGACGGCAACGAGATCCACAAATAGGAAAAATCTCACCTTTATCTCCAAACGAAGCCCTCGAAGAGCCTCCAAAGCGATATACTCCTCCAAATAGCCCAAGCACCAACAAACCAATGCGGAATAAACGAAGAATAGATCTAAACTAAAAAAGATAGAGTCTTTACCAAAAAGATCCCACATTTCTCACCAAACGAAGCCCTAGCCGAACTTCCAAATTGATCTACTCCTCCAACCAAGACAAAACCCTAGATCTGAAATCTGGAGCTCTGATACCAATTGTTGTGCGCGGCGCGGAAGCGGTCGAATCACACAATCCAAACAAGAGAGATCACAACCAAATAAACAAGCACAATCACCAATTAACACAAGAGATTTACGTGGTTCGGCAAGTTGCCTACGTCCACGGGGTAAGAAGGGGATGGAGTTTTCACTAATAGAGAAAGAGTACAAACTGAGATTACAAATCACTCGAAGGAATAAACTAATCTCACCAACAAGCTCTTAATCTCTCCAAACAAAACCCTAAACAAATAGCTCAGAAAATACCTCTTTTCTGTGCTCCAAATATCCCCAATTTTTCTTCTCCACCAATTTTCTCTTCCAATTGTTCCATATATAGAAATCCTAAAATCATAAACATACTAGGAATTCTAAACCAAAACCAAATCAAATTAGGAATCCTAATAACCTATTACCAAAATAGATTAGGAATCCTAATAACCTCATGTTACCAAAATAGATTAGGAATTCCCTATCCAACATAGGCTTCTCTTGTTTATGATTTCAACGAGAGCACCGTGAGAGTCATGAGATTGCATGAATTCCACTTCTGCATCCACTTATTCTGAATCATTAAATTACAAATTTTATTAGAAAATCTCCTATACAAATATAGTGTTCTGAATCACAAAGGGAACAATATTACGATTTCCAACACTGCGCGCCTTCCTATTCTCCTCATGATCATAAGCTACTCAGAACATTCTTCTGCCATGCAGGTGTGCTCTAATAAAATGCTTACTTCCACTGTGGTCTGAGCCTGATGATTCTTACAAGATTAATGTAGATGGTTTAGTTGAAAATTATCAACTAGAAGGTTTTAGACCATTCAAGATTATCAGACACCGTTAAAAGACATTCACCCTTTCATATGAAATTACTCTCATCTAACATAAAGTGACGCGACATATATATCATCTAAAAAATTATTGGATCAGAAGAAAAAAAAATGCCACATTATTTTATTGGGTTTTAATCAAATTTTTATTTTATAAATTAATTTACTATTTAGCTTAACAACTATTCAAAATTTCAAATTATAATATTAGAATGTTACAATATAGTTTTTACTCTATAACTCTATAAGAAATTATAATAGATACAATAAAATTCTCATTGAGGGGGCAAAACTAGTTGTAATACTGTAGTCAGTACGAGGTAGATGATCATTGTTTTTTTTTTTTTTTAATTTTCTTTGATGGACAGGTAGATGGTCTCATTTAAAACAACTGAAAATTAAGATTCTGGGTGTGATATTCTGGGTGTATATTTTGGGGGCATAATGTCAAACATAAAAGAACTGATCAGCAGCAGTGTGACAAACACCCTCATCGTTTCACTAAACAAGAAGAGTATATTGAAAATATGTGTATGTATATATATATCTCTATTTAGCTTTTTTTTTTTCTTTTCTTTCAATAAAGAGTATTGATTCCTCCATAATATTCTTGGGATTTTGAAATCAAGACTACAAGGATGACGGTACTATATTATTCATCAGCGCGGATCACAAATTAAGATTAACCTCATGTAATATTGATAAGGCAGAATATTTCCTGCTCCATTCCACCTGAATCTGTTAAATACACTTTCTACCAAATTACCCGCCACTAATTTGACTCTATCCAAATTACTTGGCTACTGCCAGATAATAAATAACTGCAGCATGCATATACTTTCAGAGTTTATGATCCCTCACTCTGGCTTGCGCTAGCAATTCCTACTTTCTTAATTAATGGCATCCACAATATTATTTTGCAGTAGTTTCATGGTTGCATTGGCCATGGCTTCATTCATGATCACAGCTGGATCGTTGAAATCTTCTACCGGTGTGCTTATCACGGTCGATAAATTAGGACGTGGAAACTTCATGAAGATTCAAGACGCCATCGACGTTGTGCCTTCGAACAACTCAGTACATGTCCTCATTTCCATTAAACCTGGAGTTTACGAGTATGCATGCCCCCCCTCTATATCTATTTTGCTCCTTCAAATTGAATTAGATGGATATATATACCTTCACCAAATATTAATTGGAAAAAAGAATCGATGAAAGATGAGGAAGTTTATTATGCAACATATTTTCCTCCTCGTTATTATCTTAGAATTATGTATTGATTCTTATACGATGCTGATGTTAGATGCATCTTAATTTTGTGTGATGCACTAATTGAGCATATATAATCCACTTTTAGCTTCTTTATTAAAGAAAATTGTGTCTTCCCGGCCTGTTAATTCTGTCTCGTATCGTACATCTTACATTAACTTATGAATCTTTCAGAGAGAATGTTGTTATTCCGGAGGACAAACCATTCATAACTTTGAAAGGCGAACATACGAAGTCAACCATCATAAGATGGGACGGGCGTTGGAAAGCTGCAGACAAGACAACTCTCTTCATACAAGCGTCAGATGTTGTGGTAAAACAACTTACAGTTCAGGTACTAAATTAATTCCTCCTACTCACTAACTTGCCCAGCTCATGCGTGAAACAAGTAAATGAAAGCAGTTATCTTGTTGCAACTTTTATTAGGTATTGATCGATGTTAAATGCTCGACTGTTCTCTCTACTCTAGGCATGCAAATGATATTGGGTGACTAGAGATATTTCCTAGCTATATCGAGAGTGTGCATAACAAAGTGCAAAACTTGTCTATGTACATATATGTGTCCCTGACTAGCTCGATCTACTTATTAATAACTTTGGGTGTTTTTATTTCGTCAATTAAGTGCTAATACAAAAAAAAAAAATTGCAGAATGAATATAATTTAACAAGAGAAGGAGCAATTGCGGTGAGAGTAAGTGGCGATAGAGTCGCCTTTTTCAGCTGCAGATTCCTTGGAATCCAGGACACAGTCCTTGACGACTCTGGAAAGCATTATTACTGGAAATGCTACATTGAAGGAGCCACCGATTTCATCTGTGGAAATGGCAAGTCTCTCTTTCAGGTATGCATGCACGAGTTAGTCTCGTTTGATATTTTTGACTGGACTATTAATTGAAAGAATAATTTTTAAAATTTTATGGTTGTCAACGTAGAACTGCGCCCTGCACTCAACCTCAACGTATGGAGGAGCAATTACAGCACATAGGAGAAAGATGCCGACAGAAGATACTTACTTCATCTTCAGACACTGTAAAATCACCGGAACTAAAGGTGGAAGAGCAATTTTGGGAAGGCCGTGGGGGTCTTACTCGAGAGTGGTGTTTGCGTATAGCTACATGAGCAGTGTAGTTCTGCCAGAAGGTTGGAGGGACTGGCCCGGTGTACCTCCTAGGAAATGGTATTAATTTATGCTCACTACAATCTTTATGCGTAGCTATCATGCATCTTGAGTTGGAAGGTGTGTTATCTTGAAAATCATTTTCTTTAAATGCCTAGTGAACTATGTACTTCCATCCAGAATATCAAATTAGCTAGGTTTTGTTAGAAACATGTATGAGAATATTATTTAACCTGCATATATGGGATAGGATTATAATGCAACCTGAATTTGCGGACTGCCTATATTCAACAGATATGAGAAGTCTTACCTGAAAAGTTGTGTTCAGAAATCAAAGCTAGATATATGTACATATTGACGAGCTCCAGGAACCATCATTACGATCTTTAGATGGAAAGATCGTTTGCTCATCTTTAATCTGAAACTGTGCAAGAAGATTATGTTAACATATGTCACATTTTGAAATTTTCTTTTCGAGCGAAAATTGTTCATTTATTACTAATTTTTTCTAACATACACAGGACAACATATTATGGGCAGCGAAAGTGCTATGGACACGGCGCAAATGTCACAAGAAGAGTCAAATGGTCTCATAAGCTTTCGAAATCTGAGGCTGCGCCCTTCTTAAATATATCAGCTATCATCGGTCCAAAGGATCAAGAATGGATTAGATCTCCTAAAATAAATTATAAGATATTTTTTCCAGGCATTTTTAGCTAGCTATGGACTAACAAGTAATCCTCAGTAATGGCGATTCGTTTTCTTCTATTAAATTTCTTTGAAGGTAGAAGATCCATTTGTTGTTGTGTACGAGTCACAATATTAGACTAGAAAATTTTACTTTGTGAGATATGTTTCTCTTGTTGCTTGAGTTTGCCTGAATGTTCTTTACAAGTGAATGTTCAAAGTGAGGCGTGCACAGCGAAGTGGTACAAGAAAGAAAGTTTTTTCTGTGACTAATGACGACAAAGTAAAAGAAAAAAAGTTATGGTAAAAACTAATGATGTGAAGAAGCTGCTTAGATCTCAGTCAATCTGCGAAATTGCTGACATGATTCTTTGTAGGATCGACATGGTAAAAACTAATGACGACAAGTGCAGGTTCCCTGTAATTAACCAAAAACTTTGCATGATCTATGCAAATGTTGAATGAAACAGACTTTATATACAAACAACTGCTAAGGGGTAGGTCAGTAAGTGACCTATCAACAACTACCCAAAAAACTTCCCCTCTGCTCTTATACAGACTCCGCGGTGGTTGTTGTTGAGGAAAAGGGTACATTAATTCTCAATTAATATGAAATGAATAATGGTGTTTATGAGTACCGATAAACTTTTCCTTCATCTTAAAGAAAAAGCCCCTCCTCATGCTTGTTAAGCTTAGCCTAACATGCCTTTCAAGTACATTCTTTCTTCCATGGTTAATAAATATTATTATATTCTCCCCTAGAATTAATGTCTCAATCCACGTTTGCTTCCAAGCATCAGTATGCAACCCTTGCACATTCAACAAAAGTGCAAGCTCACCAATACTAACAAACTAATGTACAGCACGTATATAAGAAGAATCAGTTTGTCCTCTAATCTCATGAACACAAACATTCAACTTTATCTACTCCTGAGGCAAGAAAATGGCCTTTTCTTTATTTTCATGCCTCCTGTTTGCTTCTGTTGTTACAATGATATCTTCATTTGCAGCTGAAGCTGCCATTAAGAAGTACCAATTCGATGTGAGTGGATCGATGCCTTTTTTTGGGGGGGAAAGTCCCATCTATTTCAATTAATTGTGGATGCTAACCCTCCCTATAAAACTGATCAGGTTGTGGTGAAGAATGTGAGCAGACTGTCTCACCCTAAACCAATTGTTACCGTCAACGGGAGGTTCCCTGGGCCTACAATCTATGCCCGAGAGGGAGATCGTGTTGTCGTCAATGTCACCAACCATGCTCAATATAACCTCTCCATCCATTGGTATATAACAATTCCGTGTCAAATTACTTTGATCAATCTTCACTCTCGTTATAACAAGCCCAAATAAGCGACGTATGTTCTTCGAATTAACATGAATTAATGCAGGCACGGACTGAAACAATTTCGGAATGGATGGGCTGATGGTCCAGCCTACATTACGCAATGTCCGATCCAGAGTGGCAACTCGTACAGCTATGACTTCAATGTTACAGGGCAGAGAGGGACGTTGTGGTGGCATGCTCACATACTGTGGCTGCGAGCGACGGTTCATGGGGCGATCGTCATCATGCCAAAGCAAGGAGTTCCTTTCCCGTTCCCTCAACCCCATGGTGAATCAGTGCTGGTCCTAGGTGAGAAAAGCAGAACTAAAAGGATGTTTTTACTGGCAAAAAAAAAACATTCGATAGAAGTTGTTTACTGTTCTTGAATAAAATTCCATGTGTTTGCTTATATTTGATTTGATATTGTGTAGGAGAATGGTGGAATTCTGATGTTGAAGAGCTGGTGAAGCAAGGCAATGCACTTGGTTTGCCACCTAATATGTCTGATGCCCACACGATCAATGGAAAGCCTGGCCCTCTTTTCCCCTGTTCAGATAAACGTACAAACTTACAAGCCAGCCTTTTCATATTTATATATATTTGGTTACATCCCAAATAATCTAGCTTTTAAGTTTCATTTAATAAAGTTAGGATCCCTAACTTTTTAAAAAACCAGAGCATGCCAAAGCAAATGACCATCCTACCGTACAATTTTTTATAGAATATTTTATCACAAAAGCCAAAAGCGATCGAAAGCTAAAATAGCCTAAAAGCTTCTAAAAATAAACTCGCCCAAACACTCTCTATATTGTAAACATAAAGGTGAAGCTAAAAGCTATATATCTACTTGTTGTTCTGTTGTTTTCAGATACCTTCGTTACTGAAGTCGAATGGGGAAAGACGTACCTCTTGAGAATCGTCAACGCAGCCCTGAACGACGAGCTCTTCTTCGCCATCGCGGGCCATAACATGACGGTGGTGGAGATCGACGCCGTCTACTGCAAGCCTTTCACAACCAGTGCTATCCTGATTACCCCAGGTCAGACCACAAACGTTCTTGTGACTGCCAACCAAGCTCCTGGCAGATACTTCATGGCCGCCAGGGATTTCAACGACGCTCCCATCCCTGTCGACAACAAAACTGCGACTGCTATTCTCCAATACAAAGGCGTTCCGGATACTGTCATCCCGGTCCTGCCTCAACTTCCAGCACAAAATGACACTTCATTCGTCGACACTTATTCTAACAGTCTTCGGAGTCTCAACACACCGCAGTTCCCTGCTAATGTCCCTCTCACAATCGATCGTCATCTCTTCTTCACTGTCGGCCTTGGAAGAGACCCGTGCCCCACTTGCCTCAACAGCACCAAGCTAACTGCATCCATTAACAACGTCACCTTTGTGATGCCCAAGATTGGACTGCTTCAAGCACATTACTTCAACATCAACGGAGTTTTCAAATTGGACTTCCCCGACAAGCCACCCGCACCATTCAACTACACTGGAGCTCCCCTGACAGCCAACTTGGGAACTTCGCTCGGTACTAGACTTAGCAAACTGGCTTTCAACTCGACTGTCGAGCTCGTGCTTCAAGATACAAATCTTCTCACCGTCGAATCTCACCCTTTCCATCTCCACGGGTTCAACTTCTTCGTCGTGGGGAGGGGAGTCGGTAATTTCGATCCTGCAAAAGACCTGGCTAAGTTCAACTTGGTTGATCCGCCAGAAAGGAACACTGTAGGAGTTCCTACAGGTGGTTGGACGGCAATAAGGTTCAGAGCTGATAATCCAGGTGAAGTGTTTATCAAATTGGTATCAAATTATTTGGATTTTCTTTAAACTTGTTAGCATGAATCTTTGATTTCAGGGGTTTGGTTCATGCACTGTCATCTGGAGCTGCACACTATGTGGGGGCTGAAGATGGCTTTTGTGGTGGAGAATGGAAATGGGCCTGATCAATCCATACTGCCTCCTCCCAATGATCTTCCACCATGCTAACTGATCAGGCTATATCGCGACATTATTACTTCTTGTGTCTTATTTGTTCTCCGAAAGTCGGAGGTCGTTTGCTGATGGCGATGGGGTTTGAAGATGATGATCCTAGTCGTCATTCATTCAAGAAATTTGTGATTGCTTCGGGAAATTGTTAATCTTTGGTATGAATAAAATGCTCAGGCAAGAAAACAAAAGTCCTCTTGCTGGATATGTATAAGAAATAATTCTGACAGTTTTTCTCTTTTCTCTTTCTGTAAGTAGTCACTGGATGTAAGTTTGTAACCAGTGGCACAACTAAAATTGAGAACAAGAATTCAGTGTTCATGACCACCAAATTTCAGATCCAAACGAAGAGGAATGCGTCTCGTGAATAACGAAAGATTGCCACATGACCGATCACTGGTGGAGGCTGACAGAGGGGCGTGAGCCCATCATGTCTGTCGCATTGTATAATCACTTATTATAAATAGATATTGGCACATCAAATGCATCTCAACAATATCCAAGCAATTTGGACAAGTGAAAACAGTCAGCATTATATATCCATATTTTGAAGCCTTTATGCACCGCCATGGGGTTTGTTCGCAACTCAATAGTACGTATCCCAGTCAGTGTGTGAACCTACAGGAACTGGGTTAACTGGAGCAAGGAGGCTCAGGCGCTTGGTTTATTTGGATCAAATGCGGACACCATATTTTTGTTGTGCGCCATGCGGAAGCATGCTCGCGAACCAACTGAGTCGGTGAGCGATGAGAGAAGAACCAAACACGAGTGCAATTCACAAAATTAACAACCAAAATCACACAAACACGGAGATTTACGTGGTTCGCCAAATTGCCTACGTCCACGGGAGAGGATGGGGAGATATCAATATATGGAGGAGAAACAACGGGTTACAATCTTTCAAATAACTCTCAAAATAACCCAACCAATGATCTCACACTCCTTCACAATAATCTCCCTCACAAAACTGCTCAAAACAATGCTAATTCTCTGGTTTTCGCCTCTCTCAAAACCCTAGAAACGTGTGTTTCTATTTATATCAAAAACCAATCCAAAACATATGCAAGGAAACCAACTTCAGCCTGTATCCACTTTCGGTCGACCAATGCTCCTCTATCGGTTGATTGATATACCTCCATCGGTCAACCGATAAGAGTGCATCGGTCGACCGACCAGAGCATGGTTTTCAAACCCTGTAATGTGCACGAGATCGATCGATCGGTCCTATGCGATCTTGTAGTGCTGATTTTGCACGTTTTCCCACATTTCTTAACGATTCCTTTGTCGTTCCTTCGCCGTTTTCAACAATTCTCCACCTTGGCGAAGTGTTCCCAAAACTGAGCCAACACCAACATGAGCACCAATGCGTCGTCTCGTCAAATCCGGCTGCACCAATGAGGTTGCCTATGTACTCCCTCTCCTAAGGGATCAAGCTGCCCGTAATTCATCCAAATGACCGCAAACGACCTCAACAATCACGAGGTTGCCTATGTACCCTCTCTCCTTGTGTCCTCTTCGTCTAGTTTCACCTTCTTTTGAATGCGGTAATACTTGTACTCGGTTGGGCTTGTTCAATTATACTTTCATATATTTTATAAAAACACAGGGGTCGTTAAAGTTATCCATGCTACAGAGGCCCTTCTAACGTCCCATAACCCTCTTAATTAAGGTTTCTGTTGATCACACACGAACGTTGTCCTAATAAGTTTACAAATATAGTTGATCTAAGATGTAAGCTTAGTGCACTAAGGAATAATTTCGACGCTGTTTCAATGATTTTGCAGCAAGGTAGGCCAGGGACGGTCAATCAATTCAAGCCAAGCCACACAAAAATACAAAAATGTACGAGGCTGGTCAGTTTCTCCTTATGAAGCTGTCTCGTATGAGTGTCGCATTAATTCCTAGACGCAAGTCATTATAATCCTTGTGTTTCAGACGGTCAATTTCTTTCTATGATTGTTTGGCGTTCTTTCTTTGTGACAGTGATTTCAGTTTGTGCTTCTACAATATCCATAATAATTTTAAGATAGACACTTAGGATTATATGACCAATTCCTCTTGGCAACATTATTGGTAGTGCGCAATCCACCATACAATACTAGCCACGTGAGTGGGGGTATAAAGAAATATTCATATCCATATCTGTTATGATACAAATATAAATACTAAACATATTCAATAGTACAAATGTAGGTGTATAGTGAAATATCTAGATAAATGTCGATCATGTTGCCGCAATTGTTTTGATCATTAGATTGATGGATTTAAAATTAATTTTGATGATCCAAAGTTCTAATCTAAGTTTATTCCGATATGCATAACATATTAGGAAACTCTCTTGTATCATATGATCTATATATTTCACTAATTTTATATGTTCTCCTCCTATCTATTTTTGTGTCAGTTTATATTTTCTCTTATTTTATCCATATTACATTCAATTTTGGTGGATTATTGTTGACGTATAGAATCACACAGTAAAATAAATGGAGTTGATTAAATTGATGGAGGTCCTCTAACTCTCCGAATGTTAGTTTCTTGAGCAAGCTTTTCTTCTCTGCACAAGTACCAACTCGTAAGAGGGCGGGACGTGATTCCCCGGTTGTATCAAGTTAGTGGGTTGCTTGTGTGGAGAAGTAAAAAATATGCAATGATAACCATAAGAAACTTATGGACAAGTGTGCTAAATCTAGTGCTACAAAATCACCCACACACTATGCACACTTGTATAGCAAAGTTTACAAGTGCTCCATTTGTGGTCGTAAAGGCCATTTAGCTAAATTTTGCTATGATGCACAAAAACATAAGAATATTAATCCTTCTTGTGCATCTCATCAAGTTTCTTCATCACATGTACACACACATGCACATGCATCTATTTCTCATCATAAGCATGCTAATGTGTATAAATGTGATCTATGTGGTCGGTTTGGCCATTTGGCAAAGTTTTGCTTTGACATGAAAAAGAATTGTTTTGATTTGCGAAAAGTTTCTAAATCGCAAAATATTTCAAGTAGACCAACATTATTTCAAAATATTTCTCATTTGCAAAATAATCTTAAAAGACCATCTTTATTTGCAAATGTTCCACGTGCACCTTTTAATGGTCAACATAAGCAAATGCTTCCTTTCCATTGTACATATTACAATCGGAAGGGTCATTTGAGTGATTATTAAGGGTTCATAACCCTAGGGCCTTGAGCTTAAATGATAGGGGTCATGTCCCTAAATCTTTAGGTACCAAGAGTTCTTGGGTACCAAAACAATTTTGAATTTTAAACCAAGAATTTTAATGTTTTTATCTTTCTTTTTCTTGGTTTTGAAAATTATGCTTTGAAACTTTTTATGAAAACACTTCTTAAATTGATCAAATCTTTTGCTTTCATGATTATTTGTTTCGATCTTGGTGAGATGACTATGTTTATATAACCCTCCGGATTTATTGGGTGTTTATTCCCAAATCATGTTTACCGGATGCTAAAATGTTCAAATGGGTTAATACTAGCTCAAGAGCTAGATAGAGTTGCCTCTCTTGATTTTTGAAAATCAATGATGATTTGGTTTTATGATTTAAACTTTGATTTATGATTTCAATTAGTTGATTTATTTTCATTTGAAAACTTTTTACATGATTCTCATGTTTCTCTTCTTTTGATTTCATAAATCTAATTTATACATTGGCTTTTATGATATGAGACAATATGTTCATCTTGATATATTTATATATGTTCTCATTATCTCTTGAATGTGAGTGATTTTTGGCATATTATTATGCTTGCTCACATGTTTGCCATGATATTTTATTGCTTATATTTCATATGGCTTTTTGATAGGGGGAGCTATTCCCTATATCTGTTTTATACTCACCTATGCTTATTGATAGGGGGAGCTTTCGCTCTCTTATTCTTTTGTCCCCTTTTTGATGTTGTCAAAGGGGGAGAAATATTGTGAGTATATGTATATTCTTTCTTGTTTATATGCATGTGAATTATAATTTATATATTCATTTTCTTTCATGCATATATCCTTTTTGTAAATTGTTTGTCATCATCAAAAAGGGGGAGATTGTTGGCCTTCTTGTTTTGATGATGATTTACAAATAATTTACTACTAATGTTGTTTATCTAGTGTTTATACATTCCTATGTATTGTAGACAAACAACGTTGTTGGAGGTTGGATGGAATATGCGCTACAACGATGATATCCAATG